ACGCCGACCGCGCCGTGCGAACCCCGGTTCTCGAGCATGGACGGGACGCTTTCCCAGCAGCTGCGCGCAAACGAGTAGCGCTCGACGGACCCGAGCGTCTTGCCGCAGAGGCGACCACCCGTGACATAGTAGTACAAGTGGGTCGTCTCGGCCGTCGGCACGGACGCTTTGACGTCGGCGACGTACGCCATGTTGACTGCGCAGTCCTTGATGTGGCGGAAGAGCTGGTTGCGCGAGGTAAACGTGCTGGCGCCGCATGTCTCGCACGTGAGAACGGGCGCCGTCTTCTGGATCTTGGCAGGCGGCGGCGACGACATGGCTCTCGCTTCGGTCAAGGGATGAGGCGGCTCGATTTGGTTGGCCGCAATATATCCGGATATACTGCGTGCTCATTGGCCAGCTATTGTGTTTGAGACATGCGTGACGTGGCACGCGGAGCCGCCAGTATTTGCTTGGAGCCACTTTTGGCTCTGGCCCGGACCCACGACGAGTGCTCGCCAAAAGCAAGTTTTTGTTAATAGTGTTTAGGGCAGTTGGCAAATTTAGCAAATCGAGAGACTACAAGCATAGTAGTTTTGAAATGTTGTGCGCATCTCGGCCCAAAGGACGATAAGAAATGATCCTTGTCGGCCGCCCAAAGATCGTGGGCCTTGAGTGGCAGCACTGACAGCTGCGCCGCTTCGTCGCGGTCGCTGCAGCGTCATCGCCAGGAACGAGAAGCACCAACGATGGCGACCTCGCTAAGCCTAACCCCAGCTATTAGCCTTGGCCTAGCCCTCCAGATCGACAAATAAGTACCATCTATCTATCCTTCTTTCTATGTATCCATCTATCCACCTTTCCATCCACCTCCAACGTCCAATTTCAAGGGATATATACATATATTGGGTGTTCAAGTGCTGGCGCGTCGGCCTCAAGTGGACTCTTCTTAGTACGGGTACGGCACAGCGATGAGCGGCAAGTCGAGGTTGCGCAGGCGGACGCATGCGAGGAGGCGCTCGGGCAGCTCTTCCATCGTCACACCTTCCAGCACAAACCCAAGGTCGATGACGAGGTCCTGCGAGTAGCTGAGGAGGAGTCGGCAGAGGCCGGACGCGACGGTGCTGCTCGCAATGTCATAGTCGATTTCACAAAAGTTGGCGCCGCGCGAGTAGCGCTGCGTGACCTACGCACACGTCAATTCGCTGATAGACGGCAGCCGCCTACCTTGTTGCCGAGGATCGTTGGCGTGTTGCCCACGCCTTCGCGCACCGCCCAGTTGCCTTCGATGACGCGCGGAATGAGCTTGAGCCGATTCGACCGGAACGAACTGTCGTCGCTAGACGGCCATGAGAACCAACCACGAGACTTGGCGTCGCACCCGTCGAAGAAGTCGGCAAAAAGCTCGGTCCACGGCGCCTTTTGCGAGAGGAACGCATCGTCTTCGGGCGTAAAGTAGAGCACGAGACTATCCAAGTATCCATTCGTCAACAATCCAACTCGATGCTATCCTGGATACCACAAACCTGTAGAACGGCGGACCGGGAAACATGAAATTGATGACAAAGTAAAACTGCGACGGGGCAACGCTGCGAAAGCTCTTGAGGCCAAACGAATGCATCTTCTTGGTCGTCGACGAGTACGCTTCGACGCCCACGAGCCGAAACACTTGCACCTCTATCCAAGTATCCATAAATATCCAATCCATCCACACGGAAATATCCTCGTCGTTGTGTACCGGACGGAAGCTTGACCTTGTCGATCGGGTACTGCGGGCCACGCACGCTAAAGTTGCAGGCTTCGGGCTCGGCCCAGTACTAAATGCATTAGCTTAGACATGACAGAGATAGCATGATACCATATCAGCGAGCGCATACGAGAGCGACGACATATGCACAAACGGCGCCAGCAGCGGCGTGTTGTCCTCGGGCAGCGTCGGCTCGCACGGTGCCGGCGCGCTAAACTTGCGCTTCATCGAGACGTACTCGTGCGCGTGGAACGCCGTGCGCAGAACCACGAGGAGGTTGAGTAGCTCGACGTGGTACGCTTGCATGTATTGGAGCGAGAGGCCGGCGCGCGAATGCAGCCACCCTTCCGGGTTGGTGTGCGCGATCATCGAGACGTAGCAGCCGTTGGCCGTGCCCCGGGGCGGTGCAATCACAAACCCCGCGCCCAGCATCGAGGCGCGCACGACGCGCTCGTCATGATGCCTATATCTGCTGCTTTAGCCAGGAAATTGTGTATAAAATGGCAAAGAACCCGAGGAGCTTGTGCGTCGGTGGGCAGTCGCTGTGCTGCACCGAGTGGAACCAAATGATGTACGACCCGTCGGGCTCTTGGTGCCAGTAGCGCAAGAGGCAGAAGTCGCGCGCTTCGACGACGACTGGCCACAGTGATTGCGGACTGAGCTTCCAGTAGACAATGTCGGTGTGGGCATCAACGGCCTCGAGCACGTAGGACCGCTTCAGGAGGCAGTTGGACTT